GCATAAAAGGCACTGGTGTTAATTTTGAATCTGATTGGTGGAGAAAATGGCGCGAATATTCTGTAGCAGTGGAGGCGCCAAGTAAAGCAAAACCAGTGCAATCTAGGATTACTTTCGGGGCTCAATTGAAAATTGCCGAGGCAGAACTAGCTGAACATGATCGGTGCTGTATCCTTCCCATATTAAGGCGAATAGCCAGTAAAATATTCTCTGTCTGATTATTTTAGAACACCCTGAAACCTTCAGTTGTACAGCTGACGCCTGAAACATTTAAGTCTTTGGTTGGGGAAAGGAAGAAAGGAGAAACGTGGCTGGTGGATTTTTATGCTCCCTGGTGTGGACCGTGTAATGAACTGGCTCCCGACTGGAACAAACTGGCCAAGGTGCTGAATCTGAAACACCCCTATTTTAGTAGACTTGATAAAATTATGCTGACGACGATGATTAAATTGATGTTAACGATGATAACTTTGGTAGGAATGATATTTATAATAGAAATAACGATAAAGATAAGATAACAGTAACGTTCATACTGATAACGATAGTTACGATGAGGTTAAAAGTAATAATAATTATATTGATAATATTTAAAAATATTAATAATAAAAAAATTATTATAGCGTTTTAAGAGGGAGCTGAATGGGGGCCTTAAAGACGTTCTTAATTGCAATGAAATATATGAAATACTAGGAGAAACTGTTCTCACCTACTTACGTTTATTAGTTAACTTAAAACACGAATCAGTTACTGACTTTTCGCAAATAAGCAAAACTAGCTAACTGAATTCTTTCGTTTGATAAAAGAGCGAATAGCAACTAGGTCAGAAGCAACAGGTTGATGTTGATTTTATACTTTCTATTTGGCAGCAAATGCAAGGAGAAGCTGGTGTTGGTTCAGTGGACTGTCAAAAGTACCGATCATTGTGCCAAGAGCAAGGAGTGAATTCATATCCTACCATTCGTCTCTATCCTCACTATTCCCAAGGATCCCGCACCTATGTGTGAGTATGTTTTAGATTTTTAAAGCAGTTTTCAATTGAGTTCGCAAAAAAAAGGCAGCCAATAGGAGCGAACGCTGACATCATTATTAGCCAATGAGAGCTCTAAGTAAAGACGTTGCATGAAACACGTGAAAACGCGACTGAGTGTCCAAATCAGTGAATGTTTAATCAGTGAGTGTCCAAATCAGTGAGTGTCCAAATCAGTGAGTGTCCAAATCAGTGAGTATCCAAATCAATGAGTGTCCAAATCGATGGGTGTCCAAATCAGTGAGTGTCCAAATCAGTGAGTGTCCAAATCAGTTAGTATCCAAATAAGTGAGTATCCAAATCGGTGAGTATGCAGATCAATGAGTGTCCAAATCAGGATTGCTTTTAGGTTTGAGTTGTGAATTTGATTGTTTTGGTTGGTGCGAGTTTCTGGACCGATCAGAGAGCGAAGTTTAGAAAACCAAAGCAGTCATAGATTACTTTCGACACAATTTAAAACGGTTTTAAAGTCCATCATTTGTTGTCCATCCGTCAATCTTTATCCATCCGTCAATCTTTATCCATCCTTTATTATCCTTATTCCTTTGTGGTTTTTCCTGACTTCTTAGATGTTTATCTACGCTTGTAAATGTTTATTTTAAGGTTTCCATTGTTAAAGTCGGTCCATGCTTCTTGAAGAATATCAACAACAAGTTTTTTAACCCTTTGACCCTTAGAGTGACTTGCATCTAATTTGTCCTTACAATATTACCCCTGAATCACCCATTAAGGTCACAAGAATAAATGTGACCGCCTAAATGCACGCAACTCAGCCTCTGCAACATTCGCACATGTGCAGATGTGTTGACCGGGTCATTGTGATCGGTCTGGGGCGAGACACTTTCCCCTCTCTTACAGTACCTCGTCTCATTCCTAAAACGTAAACCCCGTTTTGTGAATTTTTCCAGGAGCCACCGAGGTTGGCGAGATGTAGATTCTTTATACAGCTGGGCATTCAAGTATCTTCCTTCGCTTGTAACACAGCTGAATTACCAGGCATTCATGGACAATGTTGTCGACAGCGAGGATCCCTGGATCATAGATTTTTACGCCCCTTGGTGTGGCCACTGCATACAATTTGCTCCACATTATGAAAAAGTGGCAAAGGTGAGCACTTTCGAAAACGATTGCATTTCAAGCGAAATTTACATTCTTAAATTTTTGCAGCTTTTGGGCCTCAGTGATGACTGCTTCGGTGTTCTAGTGTTTTGGGAAAGTTTACATTTCGCCCCCCACTACGATCCTGCTTCCACCCCTCTCCCCTCACTCTTCCCCCAAAAGGTATGTTGGCTTTCCTTCATGTAAGGCGGCGTATTTTGTTTCTCCATAACACTCAACAGCGAGAGAGGGAAGGGAATACGATACAACAAAAGAACAAGGTATCGATTCCTTACTGCTCAATATCACTTGCTTTAAAACCACAAAGACAACAATGGAGGC